ACCTAGTTTACTGCTGGAGTCCGCATCTTAAGGGCTCTTACTTAGGTTGCCTTTGTCTGCCGTCATCTGCCACTACAGGCGCTCTTAGGACCTCTGCGATCCCTCAAGGGAGGGCAGAAGGAGAGGCGGCCCGAGCCTTGGCTGGGCGGGTCCTGGCCGGACCCAGCTGTGTCCTACTGTGGATGCCAGGCCCAGCTGGGGTGGTTTAACCCATCTCTTCTTCTGGGCTGAGCTGGTGATGCCTTTCAGGGCTGCAGGAGGCTGTAGGTGACCCGTGCACTGGCCTCTTCTGAAGAAATTTCCAGGAATTGTTTGAACTTTCTTTTTCCTGCGTTTGCTTGCTGACTTTGGAGTCTACCCCCCTCCTCCCGTGTAAGATGTAAGTCTGCTGCAAGCAGTAATTATAAACTAAGGCAAAATACAGTGTCGGGGCAAAGTGCAAATCAAAAGCTGCGGTGAGTCAAAGGAGGGCCAAAATCATACTTAATTTGGGGGCTGGGAGGTGTGTTGGGAAATCGGAAAGGCTGAGGGAGGTGATGACTCCTTGGCGGATTCTGACAGCCAGCCGGGGAGCGGGAGAGAGGACAGCGGAGGTTCGGGTGTGGCCCACGGTGTGGCCTTTGGGACCGGTGCTGGGACTTCGGCCAGAACGCCGGGCAGGGAGCTGGGAGGCTTTCGGCACAGAGGAGAAGGCTGCGCCCAGCAGTCCTGAGTCATCAGACCTGTGTTTCAGGAAGACCCAACAGCACAGACGCAAAAAAGCAGGAATGAAAACAGCATGATGCATACTAGAGACGGGCCTAGAACCCACAATTTTGCCTTGAAAGAGGTACTTTAGTTAAAAAAAAAAAAAAAGGAACCAATTTGATGTAAACCAAGCAAAAGAGGAGAATACAGTATACTACCCAAAAAGCCAGGTAATTCAGTGAATCCTGGGGCAGATGGGCCTTTGAATAATAAACCTGAACTTCAAAGCCTCCGAATCTGACTGCTTTAGGGAACCTGCCAAGGGTGCTAGCTACTCAAACTGATACGTAAAATGTGTAAAGTGAGACTTTCATCCCAGCCGGCTATGATCATTGTCTCTCTGCTCTTTCCTTCCTGGAGTCTGCACAGTCAGTACCCGGTTCTTCCCTCTTGATGGGTCAGAGGTGAGGGAAGCTGCCTCCTTCCCTGCCTGAGGCTGAAGCTCACTGCAGTATTTCACAAGTCTTGTTTCTTTTTCAGGTTCATTACTTAAGCCGAGTTGTTACATGAACCAGTTATAATCCCTACGTGGAGTAACTTGTTTTGTAAATAATTCAAGCATTTAATCATGGGTGCAATGACAAAAATGAAGATTCAAAAATATGTACATTGATGATTCAAAAGAGAAACTCATATACAATGTTTGTTCAAAATGTGAACCATTAAAACATTTGACCAAGTATGAATATATATCCTAACTATAATTCTTGAAGACATTTTGGAACATTTCAAGAAAACAACTGAAGACCCCTTATTTGGATGGATATGATGGTTAAGTTCTTTTTTCATTTTAAAACTTATTTATTGACAAGCTAGTTCTGGTGGCTCACGCCTGTAATCCTAGCACTAAGGGAGGCCGAGGTAGGAGGATCTCTACAAGTTTGAGGCCAGCCTGAGCACCATACAGACTTCAAGGTCATTTTGAATTACATAGTGAGATCCTGTCTAAAGAAACCCAAATATATATGTAATATAATATAATATAATATACATATATATATAACATTTGTTGAATTCATTTATTGTTTTAAATATATTTTTAATTTTTTGAATATATTTCAATTTTTATTTAAAAATTAAAAGTCTGAGACAAAAGTAATGAAAATGATCATATCAAAAATAGTGATTTAATTTACCATCTGCCTTGCAAGTGCAAGACCCCAAGTTCGATCCCCAGTTTAAAAAAAAAAATTTGAGATAGGCATGGAGGTGTATGCCTGTAGTCTCAGTGCTCCAGAGGGAGGCTGAGGCAGGAAGACTGCCATGAATTGGAGGCCAGTCTGAGATACACAGTGAGTTCAAGGCCAGCCTGAACTACATAGTGAGACCCTATGTCAAAAAAAAAAAAGTAGGGCTGGGGATTTACCTCAGTGGCACCACACCTGCCTTACAAGTGCAAGGTCCTGAGTTCGATCCCCACTACCACACACACACACACACACACACGCACGCACACACACACACAAATAATAATTTAAGATTATAATTTCAATCATAAAAAGAATAAATATTCAAAAGAAAGATAAACTGAAAATAATGAATAAATTTTGGAATTTTTCATATAAGTGACAGGTAGGTATTATAAGAACACTTTGGCAAAGATGCAAGTATATTGCTAATTTGACATTAATAAATACTGATCTAGAAAGACAAACTTAAAATATATTAGTATTTATTGAACAGCAATTAGCAAAGTAATTAATGGGTATTCTTTGTCTCTCTTAGGATATTGTGTCACAGCCCAGGCTGGCCTTGAATTTGGGCTTTATCTTCCTGTCTCATCCTCCAAGTTCTGGGATTATAGGCATATGACACTATGCCCAGCCCAATTAATGGCTATTTTCAATTCAAAAAACACGTAAGATTGGTCATTGCATTAAGAAAACTGAACTATTTCTTCTCTGTGAAAGAAATGTAAAAAAAAGAAATGATAGTTTTCTCAAAAACAATTCTAAAAACTTGGCATTATTGATAACAAGTTGTAAGACAGAAATTTCAACATTATCCGTAACAAAAAAAAAAAACAACAACAAAACTTTCACAGTCCTTTTTTTTTTTTTTTTTTTTGTTCCACGGGGATTGAACTCAGGACCTTGTGCTTGCAAGGCAGGCAGCAGAACCACTGAGCTAAATCCCCAGCCCCCCCAAAAAGCAACAAATTTTGATGTTATATGCCATTTGAAAAACCTTGTATTCATGCTACAGAAAATAATACTGCAAAATCATCACATGAAGTCATAAAGTATATGCAGTGAATGGACAGGGAAAAATTAGTTTAGAGGTTTACCAGTTAATAAAAGAAATCGTATATTTTACTTTTCTGGGCTTTGTAATATTGGAGGTCCCAAAAAGCAACAAATTTTGATGTTATATGCCATTTGAAAAACCTTGTATTCATGCTACAGAAAATAATACTGCAAAATCATCACATGAAGTCATAAAGTATATGCAGTGAATGGACAGGGAAAAATTAGTTTAGAGGTTTACCAGTTAATAAAAGAAATCGTATATTTTACTTTTCTGGGCTTTGTAATATTGGAGGTATTTATCAACTTTTAAAATTTGCTTTTAAATTCTAAAATTAAAACAAAAAGTGTTACCTAGCAGTGTAATTGGCCTTAGGCCCTGCTAAATACACATATATTTGGTATAATTTCTCTTCTCATAATTTGGTCGATCTTTGAATTATTTTTCATTCAAGAAAAGAGGATACGAGCTGGTTGTGGTGGAGTAAGCCTGCAGCCACAGTACTGGGAGGCTGAGGCAGGAGCCACTCTGGGATACACAGTGAATTCAAGGCCAGCCTGACCCAGAATGAGAGCCTGTCTCAAACCAACCAAGCAACCAACTGGGATAGAAAGCAGCCAGCATACCTGAAGTACACAACTTTTATACTTCTACTCTTTTTGTTTTTTTATTCCACTCATCTCACCCCCAAAGCTGCTTCTGGAAAACAGGACCCTCATGAAGATGTTCAATGGGGAAAGGGTCCTACAAGTCAGCCTCATACACTACACCACTGTGAACGGCTCCATAGCCATTTAGAGGAAACTTCTTGTTGCCAGTGTTAAATTCCTCCCTCCATGAGCTCAGTGCTGATGAGGTGTCACCTTTCTTCAGTACACATAACTCTTCTCAGTGTGCTGACAATTGGAAGTTCAGTTTTAAAGAGGCTGAGAGCCTTGGCTCTTATATTCAATTCGTGCCCAAATTTAAAAATATTGCCTTGCGAGGTGTGGAGCTGCACACCTTGTAATCCCAGCACTCAGGAGGCTGAGGCAGG